TAAAGCCGTAGAACTTTACGCAAAGTTCACGAAAATGCAGCATTTTTAGAAACTTTTTGGGTATGCAGTTTTGTAACCTATTCAACTTTACGTATAGCCTACTACCGTTGACTTTTAATTCAAACTAGCACATTATTATACGAAAATTGAATAGCCTACAAAAATGCATACCCAAAAAGTTTACAAAAATTTCTTAATACAATTTGAAATTCGTGAATATATATATATATATATATGTATGTATGTATATTTAACGTTAAAATTATTTCTAAAGTGAAAGTAAGTTCTTTAATGAAATAAAAATCAAATATTTTAAATTTCTATTGTTTTAATTTCAGGAAATAACTAGATATAGCATTGAAGAATAAAATAATTTTAGTATCCCAAAAAACGTATTTTAATGAGTCCGATACTGAGTAGCATGGGCGTAGCCAGGTAGGGGCAGGGGGGGTGCTCGAGCCCCCCTAACTTTCAAATTTTCCTTGTATATATATAAAATAGTACCCTGAAATGCCAGCTTAATAGGGTCGAGCCCCCCCCTAAATTTCATTCTGGCTACGCCGATGCTGAGTAGTATCGATATTTTTTCCCTGATTCTTTTAGAGTATCGATACTAGGATGGGCACGGGCCTAAATTTTCAGGCCCGGCCCGGCACGAGTGCAAAATCAACTTTCAAAAACACGCACAAGCCCGCACGTTAAGAATTTTAGTGGGGCCCGGCCCGGCACGGCCCGGCACGACGGGACAGCCCGAGCCCGCAAATAAAGAGCCAACTTTTATTGTATGTATACATATGTACATATTTTTAATTTTGTGTTTATGTCCATATGTATATTTACTTAAGCGAATCAATATTTTACATCAAAGATTTTTATAAAATATTTTCTGGGAAGTAGAATAAGTGGAAGGTATTTTATGTACAGATATGTATGTAAACAAAACTACTAAGTATCATATTTTTTCTATCGGTTTCCAAATATTTCTTTTTTTGCTTTTCTCTTATTAAAAGAGTTTTAAATATACAATTTTTTTTTGTATAAAAACAAAAGCTCATCTAAATTTTTAGTATTAGCAACGGGCTTTTTCGTGCCTTTTCGTGCTTTTAAGAAATTTTATTGAACGCCCAGGCCCGCACGAGTTCGTGCTGACAGCAAATATTCCGGCCCGTACCCGCGGGCTTACGCGGTACGGAGGCAATGACTGAAAAGCAGATAAACCAAAAAATCGTATTTATCTAGAAATGCCATAATAAGATGCAAAATCCCACGCGCCCTTTTACGGTGCGAAAATCCCAAATTATCAGCGAAATCTCACAAGTTGGCAAAACTGTCACACGCTATTCACGTGAACGTGAACTTTTTATTTTGACCAATATCTTCCTTATCACTTCACTGTTTGCAATAGGTAATATATCAACCGATAGAGAATTAAAATATCTTTCAGAAAAGGAATTTAAAAGCACGTAAATCATTCGTTTGTGAGCGACAAGTTCACGTTTTCACCAAGGCACATTTCGAATTAGGATCTCTGAATTTGTTGAATATATGTAGATCCAATTTGACAGATGTTTGGGAGCGTGCAAAAGAATGCAAAGGGAATTTTTGCCTTTGTGAACGTTCACCATATATTCACTTTTACGCCCGCATAGAACTGTATGAATACAGAGCTTAAATGAATTCGCCTTGCCATCAACAATCTTCGCGATTGTTAAAATTTTCTATGCATTTGTCATTTACTATGGGAATTTTATTTTCCTCACAGTAAGAGTAGATTGGCGCTTCCACATATGTTAGTGTTTGGCCGCACTTCTCCTCCAATTTGCGGCGTAGGCCTTGATGTTGTTACACAAAGGGGATGGACCTACAGTTTTACACCGACTCGGAACGGCGATTGTATTTTTATGAGAAGTTGTTTCTCATGGCAGAAATATACTCGGAGGTTTGCCATTGCCAGCCGAGGAGCGACCGCTGTTAAGAAAAAACCGTTTTTCTATAATTTTTGGCGATGTTGCTTTGACCAGGGCTTGAACCCAGGCCCTGCGGAGTGGTAGCGCGCACTGCTAACCACTACCCCACAGCGGCCACCTCATACTTGCCAAAAATTTACTCAAAAATCAAATGTCACCTTGCTCTCTCAATTTCCTCTACTTTGCAAGTTTTTTGCATACGCGAACGCAAAAACCTGAAAGTTTTAGTGAACTTTGAACAATTAACAGGTACACGAACGCAACTAAAGTATACTTTTCCAAAACGCATCCCAAAAGTTATCGAAACGCATCGCTAGAGCAATCAGCCCATCAGAAACAAAGTTGATGCTTCGTTTGTTATTGGTTAACATTAGTGTTTTAAAAATGGAAAATTCAGAAAAATTGTTCATTGCTATATTGAATATTTTAAATATGCAATGTACCTATATGGTTGCAATGTGTCGCAACTTTGCATATACAAACAGTTTGAATACCGCAGTATAACAGTATCCAAACATTGTATTGATACGTTTTGGAAGTCAGCCTTTCAGTGGAATCTAAAATGTGTTTTCCAAACAAAGTACGATTGGCAAGAGAAGCATATTTATGAAACGTACGTACATAGTGGAGCGGCGAGAGCAAAGCAAAGAGCTAGCATCGAGCAATGCTTCAATTACAAACGTTATGTACAAGAGATGCCGTTTTTAAATCGATTAAATCGAAGACCGATTAATCGAGCCCTTCCGATTAGATTTTTTAGTGCCGATTCGATCCGTGAATGGATCCAAAAAAATCGAGAATCGCCATTAGTTTTTTTCTCTATTGATGCATATAACATTGCATTAGAAAATCTAGAAAATTATAATCAAATTTGAATTTGCGCCTAGTACAAAAAATGAAGGAGGCTTGGATATTGAACCTAGCTGTAATTTAGAGTATTTGCGCTAGTTTATTTAACAAAAATAGCTAAAGCGCATATTGGGGCAAAATGATATTGAAAATGAAAGCATTTGAAAGCATATACTAAGTGAGTGGTAGTGTATAAGTTAATATTAATAATGTTTTCTAAAAAAATTTCGTGGACGGAGTTTGGTAGCCTATTCAATTTTAGGATAATAAAGTGCAAGCTTGTTTTGTTTAATTTTTTTTTTTTAGGTCTTAGTCATTTTATTCATATGAAAATTTTGTCGAGCATCTTTGTTTGGAAGAAAATGCGCTACATAACTGCATTCTTATACTTTTCCTAAAAGGGTAATTATTGGAATGAAATATGCAGTTGGCGAAAAAAATCGTTTTTGCTATTTTATGGCCTAATAACAAATTGTTGAAAACAAAAAAATTTAAAAAAATCTATATTCCAAAAAATATTTGCATACATAATCTTTATTGGGCTAGTGTATTAATGGATAATACATTTTTTAATAGCGGTTAATTTTGAAATAAAACCAAAATTTTTCCCTTTTGTGATAAAAAAAACAAAATTTCGAAAATATTTTACCATTTTCCTAAGTAGGGCTAATAATTTATGAAAAATCTGCTCAGTTGATTTTAGGTATTAAGGATTGTTAAAGCCTAGACAAACGGACTGAGTTGATTTGCATTCAGAAGCACA